CACGCTAATGTCTTTGTTCAAGATACAGTTTTCAGTTTGCATAATAAATACTTAAAATAAGGTACAACACTAGGAGCATTGGTTGGTAGTTATACTGTCCTTGTTAGAACTGCTCTAATTTAATCTCTTCATAAATACCTAGTAAATATATAGTGAGTGAAGTTAAGACAGAAGTCCCTTCCTGGCCCCCCAGTGCCAACCACTGGGCTTCACTCAATTAGTTGTATTATTTGATTTACATTGCTGTATGTTATGGGTCCTTATATGTAGATGAATATTAAGAATGCACCGTGTGCAGGAAACATGCTTCCTCTTTGCATTGGAGGAGTTGGGTACAGAACTTCATTTTAAAGAAAAAATTCTTGTGCAGAAACTCCAGACAATCCAGAAGGACCCAAGTGTAAAAAGTCCAGTTGCTATAACAGGAAATTCATGTGTTGTACTTCCCAGTCTGATTTGGGTTTCATGCACAGTCATTCCTAAATCCAGAAAAATAGTTCACCTGAATGCATGATACACTAAATATAATTGACTGTACAGTTCAATAGGTAATGCTTGCCAACCTTAATGTGCTTTACCTCATCAGATCCACAAGTGTATATTTAAATTTGCAGTACTCTGTATTCTAAAAATAGAATTGACTCTTGGTGTGGTTACAAGAGGGCAGGATCAGACAAAACCAGGCTACAGGAACATGTGCTGAGGTGGTAAGAAGAAAAGAGGTCAGAGAAGCCCTGGCCGGCACCCAGTAAGTGCAGCCATCCCGGCACAGACACGCTGTGCTGCTCCTGAGCAGGGCTGGCTCAGGCAGCACCACCCATGTCCACACCCCCCACGACTCTCCCACCCCCCCGAGCCAGGGAACTGTGCTGATGGTGTTCCCAGGACCTCGAGGAGGGCGAGTTCTCTCGCCAGTCGCTCCATGGCATAGCAAAGATTTGAATTTCGCGTCATCGTAAGTGATACACATTCCGAACCTCCCCCAGTTCTAGGCACAATTTAACTTGCCTTCATTTTATTGCTGTGAAATTTTCACTACTCAGGCTATTGACGAACACAGTCTGTAGTTCAAAGAGCCTGCAGCTGATCTCTTCAAACCTAGTACAGAAAGACTTTATTTTCCATCAAATTTGCAACTGGACCAAAATATTAAGGGTCCACCTTCAGATCATCACGTTATCACTGATTTTAGTGAAAATTATATTGAACAACAGAAACAAATTGATCCTTGCTGTGTGGTTGATAACCTGTAAGTGTGAAGGCCTTTTGTGAGATGTCTCCCAGTTAGAGCGTAACTTGTGCAGAAAAGACATGAAGGTTCATGCTGAATTGACTGCTGATGTGAGCATCACTGTGATTTTTTTCCTTGAACAGTAACAGTAGCTGATTATATATCACGAGCTGAATCTCAAAGTAGACAGAGAAACCCTCCAAAGGAGACACTAGCCAAAACCAAGAAAGAAACGGTAAGACTTTTTAATGTGCATTTCCTTTTTTTCCTTCCTTGCAGCAGAACAGTAAAGGAATGAAGGCTTCAGTTAACTTGCCCTCATTTGGCTACAAGTACATTTGAGTTCAAGAATAATATCACTAAAAGCAAAAAAGGCCCAGAGTAAACAGAGCTGACAGTGACTCGTAGACTGTCATTGCAGACTTTAGGGACCAGGGTAATGCTGAAATTAATTTTGTACACATTTTAAAATACTACACTTAGCAATGTTGCGTTATGTAATAAAATGTGAAAACTGTCCCTGGTGAGTCTTGAGAACTAATCCTCAGGGACAGAGGATATTAGGCGGCATTTTTAGTGACTTATACCAACTATTTTAGAAGAAGTTAACTTTACAAAGATTGTATATTTGAGATCTTTTCTCCTTAAGGGATCAAAATGGCATTACATATCCGGAAAAATAATCAGAACTGAATAAAGCAGAATTTATTTCTAAAGTAACAGTGAACACATATCCACAAGTCATGTCTGAGATCAGCAAAACAAGAAAGATCCGTTAACAAAATCTGATCTTGCTGTACAGACTTGCGGGGTGTGAAACTCAGTTTTTCAGTTGACTCCTTCATGGGCTCAGACTAATAGAAATAAATAAAGCATTCTGGGTGTGCTGGGGGCGAGCGGTCCCAGGGTTACCTTGGCATGATTTCCTTGGAAGTGTCTGATACAGAAATGTCCTATAAATGACAAGGTAAGTAATAGGATGCTCTAAATAACAGAATACAGACAGGCACAAGAGGTGTTTCCTCTTGCAAAGCTGCTGTGTGAGCCAGAGGGAAATTGAGATTACACTCTGCATTGTTACGGAATTCCTGTATTACCCTGTTCTTGTTTTTGCAAGGCAAAAGACGCGATTGACGAAAACAGCCCTTCTGAAAAGGCAGTGAATGGTCCTGCCACCACTTCTGGGGATGAGCCTTCTAAACTACAGCACAGCCCTGATGAAAAGAAAGTCACTGTTCAAGAGGATGGAAATAATCAGGAAGAAGCAGTGCTGAATGGTGTTTCATAAACTGAAGTTCCTAGTTTACAGTTCTTTTACATTACATTTAAAATAGTGCTTGTATAAGCTTGCCAAAGATAGAATATGGATCGCCAGTCTTGACACCGCACTTTCAGTTCCTCCATTTTGGAATACAGAAAGGGGAGGGATCCTGAAGAAATCATATGTTAAACATACTTTGACACCTACTGTGTTATAAATATATCATCAGATGTGCCTTGAGATAGTATATGTAACATTTAAATAAACAAAATTGCTGGCTATAGGAAATGTTATTTTGTTTTCAAAATACGGCAAAGATGTGAGGGGGATCCCTAACATAATACTCTTTATGAAAGCATTAGCTGCTTTTGTTACATTTTTAATAATATGCAACCACTTCTTCACCTGAGGAATACTAGAAAGAAATGCAGTCTAAAATATTTTGCACTGAAATGTAATTTCTCCATTAGTTTAGTCTGGAAACTGGTCTGTTTTAATACATGTTTTTTAAATGCTGTATGTAGAGGAAAAATCTGCAGACCACTGGAATACATTTGTTAAATTCTCATAATCTGCAGGGATACTGGGTGACATTGGCAGTGACTGTTCTACATTGAGGCTTTGTTTGGTTTATTTATTAAACTGTACAGTATTTAAAAATCAAACATAGCTTTAGTTAACACTAAGCTGAATTAGTCATGTCCATTAAGACATAACCTGAACTACTGAAAAGATCAATTTCCAGAAAGTTTATTCTGTATAAACTACATATGTTAGTCCTTAGTAGAGTATTTTTATTTTTGTTTTGGTTGTTTGATGTGCAATATGTTTTTTTTGTATGCTGGTAGTAAAAGAAAATAAACTTTGATCTTCCATCTGTTGACTGTTTCTATCAGAAATTTAAATTACTATTGACTTGGAGGTATTCAAGCTGTAACTAACAATTGAAACTCACTTGCGAGGCAGCTTGAACCTTTAACTCTTATGAAAAGGGTTTCTGATGTGCTAATCTTCCTTTCTTTAAGGTGACTATGTCAAACATCAGTTAACAAGTCTAAACCTAAATTCCTTATCTTGGAGAATCACTAACCTGACTAACATATATAGGAATGAATGCATATGTAGTTTTTGATTGAGAAGTTAAAGCATGACACGTGCCCGTGTTTTCAGGCACATGAGCCTGAGCAGTGAAACCCAAAACAGGTACAGAAAAACATCGGGGTAGGAAGAAGCTGGACAGGGTAGTGTTGAAGTTATACTGACTTAAATGAAAAAAATTGTCTTACCTGATTTTGTCAGAAGTGAATAGGGACAAAAGATGAGTGTTCTGAATGAACCACCTGTGCCTTCAGCTGCTTTTCCTGATACAGCTGCAGCAGAGCTGTCCCAGCCAGGCTGGGGTGTGTGCGTGTGTCAATTCAGGAGATGTGCAGTGTGTAATATGACTTTAGTGTTGGACACCCAACCACAATGTGGAGAACACACACAGTTAAACTGTTGTAACTGAAGTGTGCTCAAGTATCTTAGCTGATCAGGCAGGCACGGACTGGAGAAAATTAAAAAAACACGGAAGGGAAAAAAAAAAAGCTATGCTTAAGAAGTAAGTAGCAGCTGGCAGGAAAAAACTTTAATACAGAAAACATTCTGCATCTGGCTTGGAATGTCCAGACTCTGAACTGCACAGAAGTGTTCTAGCTGTCCGTCACCCTGCTTTAAATTCTGTGGCAAAGAAAAGTTATTCCCCCTTACTGTAGGTTCCAATGTTACCTATTTGATCCTCTCTCCTGAAGGCACGGAACTCTTCCAAACTGTTGTGGTAATCCTTCCTAAACAGCCTAGAACTAATCCACAGCAGGCAGCAAGCACTCACACAGATTAGAATGTGAGATGCTTCCAGCAGCACTCCCAAGTCCATGCTCGGGGAAATGAAAGCTCTCAAGATTATGAACAGGTGGATGTTAACTCCCACAGGTGCTGTGCAGCGGTTTTTGCCGTAGTTCAAGAAACACTGGGAAGATTCTTGGAATACGACAGAGCCCCACCCGAGATCCTCACAAGGACAACTGCTGGTGGGTGTGAGGCTTCACCCACCACAAATCCAGCTCATGTATCCTCAGTGGTCTACACAGAGTTTCCTAATCCCTATAAATGGAAACCTTATGGTGTGAGTTCTAGCTTTGTGGTATATGATAATGTATAAAACTACAGTCCTTCTACTAAAAATATGGAATTTATTAAATGCTATAAAATCCATTAAAACCTGGAAGTTACTAAAACAATCTGAGACATTCCAGACTCAGCAGTAACACTTTAGAAAATCAACCTTGTTTTTCACAAGGCAAAGACAAGGGAGTACATTGTTTCCTGAACTTTTATTTCTTCAGTCAGAGACAACCACACATCTCTCTCAGCTTTTCCCATCAGAAAGTCCTCTCAGTTTTTTCCACCCCCTCCCTCAACTGGTTCACTGTGCTAACTTTGACAGATGGAAGAGCAGCAGCACTTTAAACACAACTAATTGAACAGAAATTAGGCAAGAGCATGTAAGTCTGCCTGGTAACATGCACTGGTCACACCAAGTTATTGCTCTCTATACTGAAAATATTTCAGTGGCAGATTGTGCTGTTTAATAAAGAACAGCTATGAAAAACTTTTAAGCCTCACTCCCTCACACATTTCCCAAAAAAACTGACTGAGTAGGGAGGGAAGTAGCTCCCTGGATTCATATTTCCAGCTTCACTTGTACAGAGTCAAAGACTGACATTAGAACTTTTCTTAAGCCGTTTATCAAAAATAATCATTTGCAGGGACAAACCCTCTGACAGATTTTTCTCATTTTTTAGCTTGGTCTTCCAGTAGATCTTTAGCTTCATTGATTTTGGCTGCTACATATGGAGAGCCACCTAGAAAAAAAGAGAACCTCACATCAGATAAAAAGAAACCCCACATTTTTTTCTGTGTTGTTAATAATGCCACAGTACACAGGAAAAAACAGTGAGGCTGGTCTGAGGGTTGTGCCAGTTAAAGAACCAACTGGTTACGACTGAAGCACACAGTCACTGCGGGAGCTCAGCGCCACGTGGGTCCTGGTAGGTTGGTTTTAGTTTACTGGAGTGGTTTTTTTCTTTCAGTTTTATCAGTCATAAATGAATTTGTCACTGAGTTAGCACAGTCTGTGGTGAATACAGAAGTGTTGAACTAATGTCTGCAGATAACCCTCTCCCTCTGTCAAGGCCACCACACAAACTGCTGTTGCACCAAGGGACTGGTTTAGCTTTAAACATGGCAAACAAATGACTTAGGCAGACACAAACTGAATTCACAGTGCAAATGCACCAAAACTAAAGCCCATGAGATGCAAAAACTGTGTTTCTAGCATATACACCCCTTAATTGTACTGTAATTACTGTATTTACTTGAAGCTTAATATAACTTGTTTAGGTAATGTAAAACATGAAATGCTCAGCAGTCTCTGGATAGCTATTTTTAGGTTCTCCATATATTCAGTAAAGTTAATTTTGAAGTTAACTTCTGCTCAATATTATGTATGAAAGGCATATTGCAAATACTATTTGGGATTTTGGTGCATAAAGGTAATGAATTCAACAGTCACTTTAAAGGAAGCCATTTTACCTTTTAAGTGACAATTAAGAATGTAAATGCCGAGCGCCAGCACATGACTCTGACTCACTGAACAGAATTTAGTACAGGTAGAGATGCCTGGAGTTACTAACTTTGAGCACAACTCGATTCTGAGCCCTCAGAGTACCACAAACAGGAGTATTCCATAGTTCAGTGTCTTCAGCAGCTGCAGAAGGCTCAATACTTGCCATTTACGGTGAACTCCCAAGGCACTCTCATGAACTCAAACTCATACACTTGTGGTATATGAAGTGCACAAGTATACTCTGGGCTTTCACCTAAAATTAGGGCAATTTTTAAGTCTCATTTTAACAAATCCCAATCTGATATTCACAGGGAATTGAGCAAGTAAAAAACAGACCTGCTGAATCTCTCTGCTTGCTTTTAAAACATCCACACAAAAATATGCTCCAAACCCGCATGAAGTAAGGCACCCTAAAAACTGTTTTCAGTTTTCTGTGTTTTAATAGCTGGGGTAGTCATGTATCACTCACTTCTTCCTACACAGTTCCATTAATCTGTGTTAAAAACATGTATTAATTAATCAACATGACTTAATTTCCTTACCTTTATCTGGATGATTCAGAAGCATGATCCGTCTATGAGCTTCCCTAATTTTATTTCTGTTGGCTGTAGGGCTTTAAAAGAGAGAAAAACTGACTTAAGGGATGCTCATGAGATCCCCCAGATTTTCAAAAGCTGAGAACAAGTGAGTACTCTGTCTTATCCATAAACTCTTTGGCTAACTTTGTTTTTCCTTCCCTACTCTTCATGTGTAGTATGTAAATCCTGGAGAGGGTTTCTAAGGTTTTTCCAAAACACTGTGCTGAAAAAGACATGCTACAGCAGTCTGACAGGGTGGGAGTCACCCACGTGGTTGAAAAGAAACAGAACTATGCTGCAATGTTTTTATTGGGAAAACTTCTAAAGGCTGGAGGAAAAAAATTAATTTGCTCTTGATTTATTAAAAATTAAGAACGTAAGCCCCAAACAACAAACTTCTCAGCGGAAGTTTCCTTCAAACAGAAATGGTTCTTATTCGGTAAGATTTGTGCCTTTGGCCTGAAGTGTTTTGGCAGGGGTTGCCACCATACTCAAACCTGCAATGCTCTAGAAGTGATAGAGGTACAAGCAGTGGGTCTGCAGCACCCACACGCTGCATCCATCTGAAATTCCCCAGCAGTGACAGGAACCACAGCAAACAGCACAACCATGTTCCCCACACTGAGTGAACCCCAAGGCTTCCTGAACCCCAAGGAACCTGTATTTTACATGTGCTAGAGAACTGCAGATGTCTGGAAGTCCAGAGGGAATTCGCTTCAACCAAGCTCAAATGCAGCAAAGAATCCCAAATAAGCACAGAAAATCCTGAAAGGCCACTTCCTATTCCCTGACTTGGCAGTGATGTTCCCAGAGGATGCTGGGCATAGGATGGCCTTAAGCACTGAGGATGACATCCCTTCCAAACAAGGGCAGCAGCGAGGAAACTCCACTGCCTCCTTTTCACCTTTCACTTCTAATAAATTTCCTTTACCTCACTCCTAGTATTAAAGCTGCTTCTCGTTTAGTCATTTTGGGTTCAAATCCACCCCTGTAATAACCACTGAAGGCCTAAAAAAGAAAACACGTTAGTTTAAAAAACACTAATTTTTAAGCTTATAAGTTAAAACAACTCATTGCCTTAGAAGCTGCTAAGATTTTTAGTCTGTAAAAATAGCAAAGCTTCTTCTGTGCTTGTAATGAAAAATTTACTTAGAGTATCATTATTTCAGTACTTAAAATTGCCAGAACAGGCTCACTATTAGCCAGTCACCACTAGAATCACTGAGATTGTTATTACTGACAAAATTACATTTAGCATTAAAGGAAAATACAGCAGTGCTACAAAGAAAATAGTCTGTAGTTATTTCACCAAGTAAACTTTTAAATAAAAAGATGTTACTGATAAACGAAAACTTACAGGTGTTTGTAGGTTCTGAAGTGCTTGTTTAACCTGTGGCTCCATTTGCTTCATAGCTTTTACTGCATAGCGACCTTAAAGAGATCAGCGTCGATTGAGACTAAGTACACATCCATGAAGACTTAGCAATTCAGTGCAACTGGTAACCCATGGATTAGGACATGGAATGAACTTTTTTGGGCCATAAAAGAGTAAGAACTTTAACCTTTTGTTTATTTACAGCCATTATTACAGGTTCTCCCAAAAAGTGCGTCCTGTACCAGCTATTAAACTACCTTAAATCCAGCCCTGAAGCACAGGTAATTATAACGGGGTGTTCGGTGTCCTCCCATCACTACAAACCTGCGAATCCAGCCGCTGCCACGGCCAGGCCGACCGCCACCATCGTACTGGCCTGCACGGGGAACACAGAGAGCGGTCGTTTGCCAAAGGATAAATCAGAAAAGCCAGCCGGCAGCGCGAACAGCGGGTGGGACGAGCGTGCCCATCAGCGCCCACACACTGCCCCCAGCCCGACACGGGGCACGGCGGTCACGGCACCGAGCGCGGCGCTCTGGGTGACCGCGGGGACACAGCGAGGGCCGCGGGGTCAGCGGGAACTCCCGAGCCGGGCGGGGAGGACGAGTCGAGCCTGGCCCGGCGGCCCCGCGTCCGCCCCGGGGTTCGGCTGCGCGGCCGAGGCCGGAGCCGGCGGCCTCGCCGAGCACCTCGCACCGCGGCCAGGGGCGAGCGGAGCCGCCGGGCCCGGGAAGGGCCTCGGGAGCCGCCGGCCCGCACAGCGGCGGCCCAGGGACACACTCACCATGTCCGCCCCGACCGCCCGGCCGAGCCCGGAGCCGCAAACACACGGCGGCCGCTGCCGTAAAGCGGCGGGGCGGGGAGCGAGCCGGGACACCGCCCCGGGAACGCGAACTCGGGCGGGGCGTGAGGGACGGGGAGGGCAGAGCCCGGCGGGGTGAGGGAGCGGGGAACAGCGCAGGGAGGGCAGGCTGTGCTCTGCGGCTGCGGTTCTTGCTCAGGGGCTCTGACAGAGCGCAGTGTTATGGCTTTGTAAAAGTGACAGTACAGAGCTTATTCTTAATGTAAACAAGGGGGTTCGCCCCTGATCCGGAGACTTCTCGCACGCCAGGTTCGCGTTTTTAGGAAAAGTAGTTTTTCAGTCCTTCCTGAAGTGAATGGAGTGGTGAGTCCAGGTCTGGGCTCCTCAGTGCAAGACGGACAAGGACCTACTGGAGAGGGTTCAGCAGAGACCACAAAGATGATGAGGGGTCTGGAGCATCTCTGTTACGAGTTGAGACTGTGGGAGCTGGGCCTGCTCAGTCTGGAGAAGGCTGAGAGGGGATCTCAGTTAATGCACAAGTGCCAAGAGGTGCCAGACTCTTTTCAGTGGTGCCCAGAGACAGGACAAGGAGAATGGCCATAAACTAAACAACAAGGAAGTTCTACCTCCACATCAGGAAGAACTTCTTTCCACTGAGGGTGTCAGAGCACTGCAACAGCTGCCCCGGGGAGGTCGTGAAGTCTCCTCTCTGGAGACATTCCAAACCCACCTGGACGCGTTCCTGTGTCACCTGCTCCCGGTGACCCTGCCGTGGCAAGGGGGTTGGGTGGGATGATCTCCAGGTGTCTGTGCCAACCTTGACAATTCTGTGATTCTTGCATTTGTTTTGTCTTTTATCCCAGTGATCTGCTCCCCGTGTGTGACTGCCCAATTTTCCTGTGTGCTGGGCTCTGGCCTCCTCCTTCCCCTGTGCTAATGGAGCGTCCCCGCTGTGCTGTGAGCGCAGCACTGACCGCTCAGGGTCTACAGGCACGCCAGGAACCGGCTCCACAGGGACAGCCTCGGGGATTTGATTGCTGAAGATTGCTACGGAACGAGGGAGAATTACAGGCATGGCGCTTGTGTTTGAATATTATTAATAACACAGTGTCACCTGTTAATAACACGGTGTCGCACGCAGCACAACAATCGAGTGTCTTTCTGTCTGTCTGTAGCTCTGGTTTGGAGGCGCAGCTTTGGAACCTGAGTAACGTGGCAGGGAGACTACGCCAGCCCTTAGCTTCAGTTGGTCACAGCTCAAGGCTCAGAGTTCTACTGTCTGACTGACACTGAGGGAAAGCTTCATTGTCATTCTCTGTGCTTGTAGAACATGTCAGTGACCTCACGGACTCCCAGAGGACCCAGTGACCAAAGCCAGCTGGCTTTTGGCTGCTTGAGGCCTAGGACTCATGAGCCCTCACATAAGCAATTTGGTGTCAGAGTTGACCATTGGCTAAGAAACTTGTAATTCTGCTCTCTCTTGCACTGGAAGACAGAATTTTCTTTTCTTGCTGAGTATTTTCTGTGTGCACTGAGTTCACTTTGAGTGTGTTGTAATTTCAGTTTGATCTTGAATTGTTTTTCTTGCTAAAATTTCAAATGCCTGCTTTAATGTCCTCTAAGGTAATGTTTGGAGATGTCTCCTGTCTCTTTCCTTCCCTGTCATTTTAGTAACGCTACAAGAAAATAACCTGCTGACTTTTAAAGGAGATGGAAGAAAGGTTTTGGTTAAGGCACTTGTACTTTTGTGCAAGTGTTTCATGAGATGGAAATAAAAGGAAACTTTTATATTTGATAAAGCAATTGAATCCCTTCATTGCAGAGCATAAGGCTCCTGACAGCCTGTAAGACCTGCTCAAGTATGGAGTCAGCAAGTGGAAAAAAACCCAGATGTTTGTTTTATAGGGGGGAAAAAAGTGTTCAAAGGTGTATGGGTCTGGTAACTAACTAGATTCTCTTCAAATGTAGAAGACTCTCTGGTTTTAAGATGGTTTCCTCTTTGTGCTTTTTCCTTCGAAAAAGGCTGATCAAAAGAATTATAAAGAAGATAATGACTTTACCAGGACATGACTAGAATTTATTTTTTCATATCATCTAAACAAGAAGTCCCTGTCTCTTACTTACATGAGGTTTTATTCTTTCATCTTGACAGAGCCTTTGGCTAGATCCATATCTTCAGTGGCTTTCAGGAGAAAACTGTCTGAAAAGGAATTTTATTTTTTTAAATTATTTTGTAATATATATAAATAATTTTATGTTTATTTTATTTCCTTGCTCACTTTCCCCAGTCCCTGTTTAGAAGAACTGGTAGCTCTACTGGCAAAGGGACTTTTGAAAATTAGAGTTTTTTTCTGTTGTAAAAATTTCTCATTTTTAGAGAAAAAGGACTTATGTAATGAAATGGACAAACTGGGTTGGGAACAGGTAAATAGTGGACCTAATTCTTCTCCTGGGAAAGCCCTTTAAAGAAAAGCCAGACAGATATTGGGAAGTCTCTTCTTGCTTAAGAGAGATTTCATCTTTACTGAGGAGAAAGGAAAATAAGTGGGAAGGCCTGGCAAGCGTGGAGGTGGGATGGAGGAATTTGCATTATTGGTACATGTTAGATAACAGCAAAACGGACAAGGGTGAGCCTAAGGGTGGAATAATTTTATTTTTATTATTAGGTAAAACAAGACAGCATTTCTAGATTAAATTTCATAATTCCTTTAAAATACACTGTATCTGTTTTTTACTCCATCAGACAACTCGAACTTTGTTTCTTCCCACAGTTTGTTGCGCTTCCCTTTTAGATGTGTCCCAGCTTGGGCATCACTGAGAGTAAAATCAAAGTTCTGCTTGATTTGCCTAATGAGTTCATTTTATAACATCTTATTCCTCTGCATCTTCTATAGCTCAGCCTTGTGCTGGTGGAGAGAAGGTCATTCGCTGGGGAAAATTAATAAGCTCTAATGGGCTGAAGTGAAACAGGTGCACTGCAGTTTTTATCCTCTCTGCAAAAGGTCTGTATTTGAAATCAGGAGGAAGGCAAAATTATTGAGTGTTTAAGAAATATAGTCTCAGTTGGAGTACAAAACCTTTTATTTTGCCTACTGTGTTCCTAAACTGCTCCCTTTCTAAAAGCCAGAGAAACCCTGAAGATTTTCTAGTTTCTTTTGGCAAGTGTTTTATCCTACTGCTATCTTCAGGTTTCCACTCTGGGGTTAAAATACTGCATGATAGATGATTAAATTTCTTTTGGAAGCTTTATCTCCCTGGATGATCCAAAGCAGCTGATCTGTAGAACATAAGTAAATTTTTCTACTTAACAGACCCTTTCTGCAGAAATCTGGCTGTACTTTCTCTTAACTGTCTCTTCCACAAACTGAACAGAAGGTGAAATAGATATTTCTGCTTTCAGAAAGTTTGTGGTGATGCTGTTAAATGCCTATAAGGCTGTTAAACATTGATTTAAATAAAAATCACAGTTCTGTGTTGTCACATGCACAGCCAACCAGACCTTACACTGCTTATTCTTGGCTATGGAGTGTCTGGACCACCAATCTGTGAAAGGCTTGCTGACTTTCTGCTTGGGGCACCGAGGTATGGAATTTTTAAACACTTATTTATTATTTATTATTTATTTATTTATTTATTTATTTATTATTTATTAATGTTTTAAGATACATATAGTAAAAATTAAACATAGATAGAATATCTTGGGGATTCCTGAGCACTTTATTCCTGCTTTTTGCCCATACTCCACTTCCTTTTGTCAGCCTGCCAGTTATAATTTTCACACCTCTTTTTCTTTTCATTTGTATCTTCTCACATTCTTTTTGTGTGTTCAACATCTGAACCATAATACAATGCCACCCTCTCTTACCTGTGGCTGAATGACCTTGGTATAGGGAGCATCACTCTGTCATCAAACTGATAATCGTAATTATTAAAGCGTAGTGTGGATGACACTAATTATAAACTGAGATTCTCTCACTTGGTAAGAATGGGTGTGGATTTTTTAATTCAACAAAGCAAGATTTCACTGTAATTTGACAACAGGTGTGAAGTGTGTATGTCTGGCAAGTAGCATATCTGTGTTCATGGTAATCATAAGAAAATCCATCTGACTCACAGTTTGATGGCTCAGTTATAAAACAGGTGAGATTGTTGGAATGTGATGGAGGGGCAAGGTTTGTCATTGTTAGTAAATCAGTCACAAAATCCCCTGAAGCTGAGCTAAGGCATACAGAGTCTGGATGTGAATATGCTCTCTCAAAAATTTCTAAAATCAGGTTTAATACTTACCATCTCTAACTGCATTGGCCTGGCTTATGCTTCTTATTTAAAGAAAAATCAATGAGATATTTCTGATGTGTTTACCAGAGCTGTTGTTGTTATTTCTGGTTTTACATTGATTGTTATTACTCAAGTCTTCATTTTTGAAATTTGTATTCTGCCTGGGCTGGTGCTGAAACTTCCATGTCTGTGCTGTGAAACTCTATTTTAGGAAAACAAGCTTGTGGTAGTTGTAGCAAAGAATTTGGAGAGGGTAAAACCTTTATTTGCACAGACAATGAATTGTAGTGAGCAACAGTTCTTTAAATTTGTGCTTAAGAGACTGCCAAGGAGGGACAGTTAAGGTTAACAGATATTCATTTTGTTCTTGGAGTCAAAGAAGGTAAGGACATGCCTTTCCTTTGAGAAGAGGACTTTTCAGCATTGTTCCTGGCAAAGTTTTGGCTTGAATGTCCCTTTTGCATATAGGTTTGCTGTCCTCAAGAAACCGGGCCCAGTGAGGAGCATAGAAGAGTCTACATAACCTGATATTAATAAGAACTCTGTTGAATGACTACAAGACTGGAATTGTGCATAACAAGGAGTCTGGAAAACTGCAGATTCACGCTGGAATGATACTCAGCTGGTATGGGGCCCTCACTCAAACCCCTCTAGTTTCAGTATCTTTTACCAGGGACCTGTTTGTGAAATAAAAAAGTCACAAAAATTTTTAGGGTGTATCTAGGCTTGCCTTCTAATGGTATGTGAAATGTTCCTTCAGGTCCTGACTGTGACATTCCTTCTGGGAA